GGCCAGGCAGGAGGAACCACTACCTGCTTCAGCACTTCCAGCCGACGATGCAGAAGTGCGGGTGGAGAAGGAAGCCCCTACTCCCAAGCCACAACCGGTGGTTAAGGAGCATGTACCCCAGCTTCCCTTCCCCACTCGCCTACACAAAGACAAGTTGGAGACTGAGTTTGCCAATTTTATGGCAATGTTGAAGCAGCTCAACATCAACATACCGTTTGTGGAGGCACTGTCGAAGATGCCCAAGTACGCGAAGTTCATGAAAGACCTCCTCACCAACAAGAAGAAACTTGGGGATCTCTCGACAGTGTTGCTGAGTGAGGAGTGTTCTGCTATCCTGTAGAAAAAGCTGCCCGAAAAGCACAAGGACCCAGGGAGTTTTACTATCCCTCTTACTATTGGCAGCATGCATGTAGGCAAGTCCTTGGCGGACCTAGGCGCTAGCATAAATGTCATGCCATATAAGTTGTATAAAAAGCTAGACCTAGGTGAACTTAGCCCTACTAGGATGAGCATTCAGCTAGTTGATCGTTCCATTGTGCATCCTAGGGGGATCATAGAGGATCTGCTAGTTAATGTAGGTGCATTCACACATCCTGTTGATTTTGTTATTCTTGATATACATGAGGATGTGGATGTGCCTTTGATTCTGGGTAGACCATTTCTTGCCACCGCCAAGGCACTTATTGATGTGCATGATGGTAAACTGATCCTGCGTGCTGGGAATGAACAGTCTACTTTTTCTGTGACTGAATTCGATCACTGTGCTATGATTGCTGTCACACTTGTGCATGCCATTTCTGATCAGGTACACGAGCCTGTCGTGTATCCTTCTGCACCTCTCATTTTGCAGGACCCTCCTATCATTCCTTCGCCGCCACTCCATCCAGCCTCGCCTCCGAACAAAAAGATCAAGGAGGAGTGGCGGCCGAAGCAGCAGGTTGCTAAGCCTGCACGGAAGAAGGGTGGAGACCACTACGAGCTGGTCCCACCTCCTGCACCACGACCACCCTGGCCGTCTGGGTACTCACTCGCCTGCATCTTACCGGATGGCCAGGTCGAGCTGACCGATGATGGTGGTCGCATCCGTCGGGTGCATGGCCGCTACCTGAAGCTGTACCTCAAGAGCGACGTGGATCCGCTCTTGGAGGCACCTGTCCCTGCACCCCCCTGAGTATCCACCATGGGCGTCCAGCTAAAAGACGGTAAAGAAGCGCTTGTGGGGAGGCAACCCCACTACGGTTTGACTTTCTTTCTTGTGTTTTGAGTCGGATTGTAAACCGGTTTGGTTTTGGTTTGTTTTCTTTTGTTTTGGATGATATATTATTGGGCTGACCATTGGACCTAACATATTGTGTTTGAGCTCTTTGGTTTCCTTTAGCTGTGCTTGTTTTGACTGGTCCTCTATCCAGTCCGCTTCACTCCGACTGGTCCGCTTCCAGTCTCCTGTAGTCCGTGCATACCGGTAACATCGTTCCCCTTTCCCCTCTTCTCCATTGAGGGCAATATCGATCTTAAGTGTGTGGGGGGGGGGATGTTTATCTTTTGACTGCATTAGATTTGTTTGTGTGCTTGGAGCCTAGTCCACTGTCCAAATTTTTAAATTTGAGGGCTCCAAGTACGCGTTCCTTGCAATTGCCTGCTCAGTATGTTTTGAATTGACAGTCTTTATAGTAATATGCAACCTAGGGAGGTAGTGTAGCACTATGGAGGATGTTGATGCATTTAAGAAGTCTCATTTCTTCTTAATATTGTGTTGGTTGATTGAGTGAATTAGTGATCTTAGGACCCTGGAATTGTGTGGTGTTGTGGACTCTCTACCTGTCATGGACTCTTGTATCATGTTTTGAAAATAACAGGTGCTCGAAAATGTGCTTTGAAATAACGTCTCCCGTGCGAATAGGGAGAAAGTGTGTAAGGGGAGACGGGAATTCGTTCCCAAATTTCCACCTACTACCTCCAGCCCCCTTACATGTCTTTCCCCCGCACGAGGCTCGAGACATCCGCTCCTGGCATGGCCGGTAAGAGCCGGGCTCCCGCAAAACCTCTGCTAGGTGGGAGTCCCCATTTTCTGAAAAGCAGGTTGGGACCCTTGAAAAAAAAAAGGAAACAAATAACAGAAAACAAGCAAAACAGAAAGAAAAGGGGTTCCAACCATCTTTAAGAAGAAAATAGAGCACCTTGAAAAATGTGATTCCATGATCCTTTGCTTTTGAGAATCTCTTCATCCACGATTCATTTGTCCTCTGTTCACTATTTGCCATGATGCCGACTCGATACTAGTGCTCTCGCCGAAGAAGCTATGAGATGACTTGTGCATTGGTTGACCTCGTAAGCTGCTAAATGATCTAGGAAATCCTCTACCTACGATCTGGGTTGTTTGTTGCTATAGAGGTCTTGAGAGTTGCATTGGTTTGAGTTAGGTTTGCTTGGGGACAAGCAAACGGTTAAGTGTGGGGGAGTTTGATAGACCAATAATTACACATGTTTTTACCCCTATTCTTGAGCCGTTTGAGAGGTTGACTCTCGTGTTTAAGCCGATTTCAGAGGCTACTTGAGATCTCTCCAAGTGCTTATGTGGCAAAAAATTTAATTTTGAATTGCCATAATATTATAGATAGATAGATAGATAGATAGATAGATAGATAGATAGATAGATATGCAATTATAAAATGATTTTCTTCTACACCCATATATCTGCACAGCTTCTTACACAGCTTCTTACGAAGCTCACAAAACACACAACTATTTTGAACACTCACAAAAATAAAATAACCACTATATAAGACGCTAATAATATGTGACAATTATGTGACAATTATTTTCTTTCTCAGTTATCTATCTTACAAATAATATATGGAGGTTCTCATTGAACACCTATCCAATTCAATTTTTCTGGCCTACTGGCACAATACGGAATGACTACTAGGTATTTTATTCACTCGATTATTTCTCCACTATTATTATTTTTCTTATTGTAGAGCAACAAAAAGCTTATTAAAATTCCTGCTCCAATGGTTGATGATAATAAAAAAATAATTGAAGCTCCAATTCTTACAACATCGTAATTCTGATTTATTCCCTGCAGCAATCACTCCCACATTAGTAACACCAATTAGGAGCATCATAATTTTGATTTATTCCCTGCATCAATCACTCCCAGCAATGGCAATCAGGAGCTCGGACGAGTATCTCGAAATTTGTATTCATTCGTACGTCATTATCAGGTCGGGTTTAGTAAAATACATTTACAACAAAATATGCATAGGGTTATGGCAATTTGGAGCTCGGACGAGAATCTCAATATTTATATTCGTTCGTCATTATCAAGTCGGGTTTAGTAAAATACATTTACAACAAAACATACCTAGGGATAATTTTTTATTAAATTGTCATGCTTCTTAACAAAGAATGATAAATATCGATAAATTATTCAAGAAATTGAGATTTTCGAATATTTGCAACTTTCTTAATGCTAAAGTATGAGGCAATAAATTATAAGTAATTATAGTACCATTATATATAATTGAGACAAAACGAGACGAAAATTGGGGATATCATAATGGGTAGATTGATGAGAATACTCATGTCCGTCTCATTTAACTTATATGGTGGTATTACTTACTTCAAAACAAGTCAAATAGATCGAACAAAATGCCCTACATCAAAATTTTCAACGTTATCATAAGCATTAGTTAAATATATCCAACACCACAATTCATTTCTTAATTATGAGTGTGCTCACAACATTTAGTTCTTAGAATTGGAGCAAATTATCAACCCGAATCAATCGAGGTAAGTCCAACTAGCGTGAAATTATAATCACTATTATTTACAAGAATGCATTATAACCAACACGATTTGGAAATTCTATACAAAATGTACCCTCTTATTATAATTAAATTACCATGCCATGTCAACTACTCATACATTGATTTTGCAATGCATTTAATTTTATAACTTCAAACAGTGCAACATTCATTTATTTCCTATTCACTTGCATGCAGCTCCATACTTGGTTCTATAATAATCCTGTATATGTCTCCAGTTATCAAATATTATGTACTTATGATTCAATAAACAACAAATATGTTCTGTTTTTTAATGCCAAAACACTAATATCATAATCCTAATGCAGGAGTCAAAAATAGTATTGGCAATGATGGAGGGATGGGAATCCGTGCAACAAATGAGGATGCTCTTGAGAAGATGGTGATCCTTTATAATGGCTGGAGTATTTTACTTTTGTACTTTGTTTACATTTGGAAGGGCTAATTTTATTTTTTACAATTAAAACAAAGTTTTTTTTGTTATGCATGGGCAATACGTTTTGATGGTTGTGTGTACTTTATATTATTCTTATGAGATCTTGATTAAAAGATATTATGCAACGAATGATCATACAAGTTTGTTTACATGATTTGATCATTAATTCACCTACTTATCTTTCACTAAATCTCCCAAAGTACGTACTCATACCCAATTATTTGGCGTGGTCCAGATTTATATTGTTTGATTTGGGATTGTAACCATACTCATAAAAATACTATATTATTCAACCTGGACTTAATATATTTGAGGATTCAACACCTTAAATCAATTTATTGACATAAAATTCCAAATGAATTGGCGAAAAAAAGAAATTTGGTATCTAAAAAGTTCTTGCTTACAACTTTTTGACTTTTACAAATCTTATTAATTAGGTATGTATAAATTAAACAACCTCATAAAAAATTGCAAACTGATCATTCTTAAAAATATGGGTTACCCATGATCATCGGATATATATGGATTTGAGTAGAATTACCAACAGGGAGAATCATCGTCCGTTTTGTTAATCATCTCCCTGTAATTTACAGTCTGAGCTATATAGCAGTTTACACATATATAATTTTTATGTAGGCATTTAGATCATCAAACAGTGCACGATTCAATTTTAATATAACAATTTCATCATGGAAGACGATGTTCCCACATGTTGCACTTCGACATCGATAGATTATCCGACTTACAAAACTTTATTTCTAAACATACTACCAAATAAACGCAAAGCTCATGACTCCCTAAAACACAACACCTAACAATGGCCAAGTGTAACCAATGGAAGGGACTGCAGTATAGTGGCTCAAGTAATAAATATCGAATCCACGGGTCTCTAGAGTTACTATTACTCAGCTTTAATTCATTATTTAGCAAACAAGATTAATAAGGAAGAACTAAAACTACTCTAGCAAACTAGAGTTAAAGTTAATCTATTACAGGTTGGGAACTCACTTAGGTATGATTCCCCCTAGCCACTAGCCAGATTAATGATTGATGGTCTCTAACTTGTTTCACTTTCATTCACAATGCGGAGAATCCTTGACTAGACCTTGAGTCTCGAATAAAGGAACAAGGCCCTCTTGAGTCAATTGCCTAGAGGGACGTATCCTTCTCTAGAACAACCGATCAAGGCATTCTGAACTAGACTCCCTCTATCGAAAGAGGTTCTCAATCTATACAAAGCAGTGAATCAACCATCGACTAAAGCAATCGATCCACTACTATCAAACTATGGTGCTCTATTGACCTAATCAGGTATTCGCTCTCATAGGATCAAAGCAGAATCAATAATCTCGACTAAAGCAGAATTGAATCATGAAAACATGCATAGATTGAATATGAACTCAAAATTATCAAGTAAGAGTACTCATACAATCATCCAATCAAACAAACATAGCTAGGGTTCCTCAAAACCTAAGTGAAGGGAAGTTACTCCATAGAGAAGAGAGAGATTGCAGTAAGAATCTTTAGTTGATCAGTCTTCAAGTCCGGACTTGTTCCTCGAGCTTCCAAGGCGAAGAAATCCTCCAATTCCCCTCCAAGAATGCCCTCAAATCGCCCTATCTCTCCTTGGTTCGTCCCTTGGGTGTTTGGGATCCAAAACCCAGCTCTCCCTTTCCTTTGGCTTCAATCTGCCTAAGAACCCCGATTATGGACAAAACACGGTCGAGGACACGACCGTGTTTTACTTTTGCCCGCCCGTGTTTTTTCCCCAGCAGCCCTCGTCGGCCAAAACACGGTTGTGCCTAAATATGGACACAGCCGTGTTTTTCTTTAGGCCAGCCCATGTTTTTACTGCCGACCATGTTCCCCTATATTCAATGCTTCGTTTCTCCCTCGTCCGGACTTCGAATCAGTCACCGTTTGATCCCAGAAGCTTGTAGTCTCGTCCACTTTCTTTTCATGACAAGCTTGCATGATTCTTTGTCCATAAAGTGAGGTAGAAATCCATTCTTCTTCAGGTCATGCCCGAGTTTCTTCTCCCTAATCGCCAATTGATCTCTGATTGACTTGAAACTTGCGCCTATGCTTCACTTTATGTGCTAGGACCTGAAATGTGAGAAAGGAACACAACCTAGCGTAAAATAGGCCAAAGACGCGATAATTAAAGCTCAAACAGTCAAGAAACAAAGGGGAAAACATGTGCAAATATCGAGTCATCAAATCCCCCCACACTTAAATGTTTGCTTGTCCCCAAGCAAACCTGACTCAAACCAATGCAACTCTCCAGATCTCTATAGCAACAAACAACCCCGATCGTCGGTAGAGGACTTTCTAGATCATAAATCAGCTTACGAGGTCAACTGGTCTTTTAAGACGTCCCCTATCTCTCTCAATGCGAGTACTAGACTCAAGCCAGGGACTCGTTGTACTGGGGTGCTCTTTCACTTCATGAGAAGAAGTAGAAGTAAGACGGTCAATTAATGGATAAAGGAACTCACACCATTCACAACCTAGGACTCGTTGTACTGGGGTGCTCTTTCACTTCATTTCACCATTGGAACCCCTTTTTCACTTTCATTTTACTTCTTTTTTTTTTCTCATTCACTTAGCGGGGGTTCCAACTGCAGTCTTTTGCATGGTCGACTCTTATTAGTCGAGCAAGAGCAATTTCTGTACATCTGGCGCTCGCCAGAGTACTTCTTTTAACTCCTTTTCCTCAACTCATGTGGAGGGTCAATAAAATTAAGGGGGGTCGGAAGCTCTATCCGTGCCCTTAAAAACACATCCTCAAGTAGGCGAACCATTCAACGGGTGGAAGTTTTACTTGTACTAGAGACAACTTAGCTTCACCTTGTAGGAGTACCCCACTAAGGATCACTAGAATCTCTTCCAAAACCCCATTTTGTGCAATGAACTGTACCACACACATTGGGCTTACCCCCATGTTTAAGATTTAATGATTTCGACATGGAGGACCAACTTCTTTTCATTTTTCACATGAGCACCCTGTTCGATACACGAGTCCATAACACAATCCAAACAGAGTCACCATTACCACATGAATTCAACGGTCTTAGCTCCACTAATTCACAAAATCAACTGGCACAGCAGAGAGCTAGATAGGAAAAATCTTATACTTCAACATCCTCCATAGTGCTACACTACCTCCCTAGGTTGCACATTACTATAGAGACTATCAATTCAAAGTATACTGAGCATGCAATTTGCAAGGAAACACGTACTTGGAGCCCTCAAATTTAAAAATTTGGACAGTGGACTAGGCTCCAAGCACACAAACAGCTAAACATTCACCCGCATACATAATCGAACATCCCCCCACACTTAAGCACGACATTGTCCTCAATGGAGGAAAGATAAGGAGGGTAGAACGAAGTTACCAGATCAAGGGTGAATGATGGTGGACGAGGCAGGTGGTGCATTCCAGGAGGAGAGAGTAGTCAGAACACAAACACCACACAAAATCTCACAAAGGTTGAGTTATTGACTCTAAAATCAAATAACAAAACTGACTCAACCGAAGAGAAAAAGAGAAAGAAATGCAAACCGACTGGTTGGGTTGCCTCCCAACAAGCGCTTCTTTAACGTCGTGAGCCGGACGATGGCTCCTAAGTTTCGGTCCACCCCAAAACCTCCTTGAAGTTGAGGTTCTCGTCAATGAGGGGGAGTCTCAAGTCACGAGCATGTGGTATGACAGGTGATGGAAGCTCGTGCACTTGATGCGAATGAAGTCTCCACCCTCGAGGCCTCTTCTTCTCTTCTCTCGTCTCATTTCCTTAGGCTAGATATGACAGCATCGATTGACCACCATCGCGTCCACCAAGAGGAACCGATGTCGATGTGGCCTTGGTCTGGAAAAGAGACACTGCAAATGGGTCCTTGCTAAGTAGTTCCTCGAAGTTTGGTGGAGATATCACATGCAACTCATGGCCGGTGCAAGCCTCTTCCACCTCAACTTTGCCCTCAGCCTGGACACCAATTGCTTCTTCAACCTCCCTTTCTTCTTAATGTGGTATCACCCCTGAGAAATGATCAAGAACTCCTTCTGCTTCCCTTTCGTCATCCTCCACAACTTTTTTCTGCACCCTTTCTTGCTCTTCTTCTTCTAGCACGGATTGGAGAGCAAGTTGCCAAGCAATTTCTTTCATGGGATCTTCTTGCATATCCTCACTCATGCTCGCCTCTTCAAAGCTCAGTTTGGGATGTGGGAAGGTGTGGTCGGCTACGACAGGACATTCCTGATCATGATCATCACGGGAGCTCTCCGTGACAACTTCAGTGTGCTCCACAATGTCCTTGTAGCCTTCTTCTTCCTCCTCCTCTTCTAGTATGGTAGCAGAAGGGTGATCTGGAGCAGGTTGTGCACAAGATCGCTTAAGATCATCGACGCTCTTCTTAAGGCTCAGGAGGATCTCCTGTGTTTCACGATAGGCCTGGGTACAAAGATCCATCCTAGACAATGATCTCTCACTGTCTCAAGCAAACTGCTCCATGAGAAGCCTCAACTCATAATTTGGATCTGGTTGTTGAGTGTAGCATGGCTCTGCAGAATGGCCCGTGAAGGTCGCCATGGGTAACTCCAGCTCCGATGGCCCTTCTTGTTGTGGGAGAAATTCTTCTTGATAATGAGGTTGTTCTTGATATGCCCAGGGGTCTGATTGTTCTCCGTAGTAAGGGGGTTGGTACTGGAACCCGAATCCATAGTCTTCTCCTCCTTGATTGCTCCAGGGAGTCTCGGGGTAATACCACTCGGATGGTGGTGGATACCCCCAATGGTTGGAGAAGCCATGCGGATCCATGATTCAGATCTGCACCAACAAAAACAAAAACACCCAAGTGAAAAGCAAGGGTGGAAAAGAGAAGAAAAACACTCAAGAACATATGATTAGGGTATAGGTTATGTGGCTAGTGTATAATGTATTGATGGTTTAGGGTATACAATCAACAACATATACTAACTTAATAGTGTTGATTGAGGGTAAAGCTAAGTGTATAGGATATATGCTATTGAGTAAGTTATGATTGAAGTCACAATAATTTTACTAAATTTGATAGCTAACCTTTAATGGTTCAATTTTTAGGATAATTCGAATTTTACAAATAACTCATTTGGCAACAGTTTACTAAAGTTATTTGGGCAATGAGTTATTTTGAAATAACTCCTTTTATCACTATGCTTTTTCCAAATACCACACGCCAAATACCAGATTTGCATGGTTATACTAAACGAGATACTTTAATCCAATTACTACTGAATTACTACTAAAATATCAAATAAACAATTAACTGTGTCTTTTGGTTGCAAATATTGATATCACCATTACTATTAGCTATAATACTTTACCAATTATGATTAATTACATAACAAGTTTGCAAGTCATACAAATTGATTTAACATTTCAACTAGTTTTATTCAAAAAAATAAAGTATATATATACGAGGTAGAAATAAATTGGTTAAAAAGTTGAGAAAATATTTTAAATTAGTGTAATAAAATGTGTAAGTTGGTAATGAGTAATGAGTTAAGTTACTTGATGCGCTGGCCCGAACAACCCGAAACCCGACCCGCCCGACCCAAAACCCGATGAACCCGCAACCCGATTGAATCTGAACCCGATGAACCCGCAACCCGACTAACCCGCAACCCGTTTGAACCTGAACCCGAGGAACCCGAACCCGATGAACCCGCAACCCGACTAACCCGCAACCCGTTTGAACCCGAACCCGATTGAACCCAGCCCGAACCCGCCCGATTGACACCTATAAACACACCCCCTCAAACAAAAGCCACCATATATGGGCTTGAAGTTTGCACAGGTCCGGACACCATGTGCTTAACAGAAACAAATGGGGTTATCGGGATTCGAACACACGATATTTCGATTACATAAGGCCCTGATACTAGGGGTGGGCAATGGGCGGGTTGGGTGGGTTTTCGTCTTAAATTGACCCATCCGCTTACTAGCGGGTTGGAATAATTGTAACCCGCAATCCACCCACATTCTTATACGGGTCGGGTTGGATAGGTGGTGGATGAGTGCGGTTGGGTCGTGGGTTAACCCGCAAAAACAATTCTCCAACTAACTATTAAGAAAGTTGATTAACATTTATAATAAGTTCATAGCAAAGTAGTAAGTTTGTATCAATTTAGACACTTATTACTTTCTCTCTAGTGAATCCATGTAGTATTTGCATAAAAAAATTTAATACTCTATCCATCATTTGTGTAGAGAAAACTTACGCATGTTGTGATTTTGATACAATTAATAATTTATAGTTTTCATCCCAATATGTAATGGATATCAACAATAATTTGTATTCTAATATCCAATAAATGGATATTACACAACACAATAACCACCAACAGTAGTCAAAAGTATTATTTACTCTCCACATTAAGAAGTATATGGTCAAACCGTAGTGCGGTTTGAAAATATGATGAATATTCGATACTATAAGAAACAACATTTTTTCATGTGAAAATAGGAAGCGGGTCATTCGGATGACCCGCAATCCACCCACCACCCACCCACATAAGTGCGGGTGGGAGATTTATCAATCCGCAATCCACCCACATTAATCACTCACAGCTTGCGGGTCGGGTTATTTGCGGGTGGATCGATATCAATCAGCGGATTACCCACCCACATGCCCACCCACATGCCCACCCCTACCTGATACCATGTCAACTAAGCAAGCATAATCAAAAGAGACACAAGGATTTAACATGGTTTCCCTGAATGTCAGGACTAGTCCACGGGAGAGGCAGAGCTCTCCAAGTCAATCTTATCCTCGTTACCACAGATCATAGGTGATAAATATTTTTAGGTTTGGTAGAACAAACCCTACACATAATTTGGCTGACATATTTACAGAGTGATACTTATATTTTACAATTCTAACACCCTCCCTCAAATTGATATTGGGCACGCAACATCAATTTGGATGATAAGTACTAATGCCTACTTGAAGCTACTGCATTGGTTAAGAGATCTGTCGTCTGGTCTTCTGTAGACAAATAACCAACCTGTATAGTGCCCTCTGCAACCAACTGTCGAATATAGTGTACATGCACCTCAATATGCTTACTTCTATCATGCAATACAGGATTAATGGCAATATGTATTGCACTCGTATTATCGCCATATATCCGCATTGGAACTCTGCATGCAACACCTAATTCCTGCAGTAGTCGCAACAACCAAACCATCTCTAAACTCACCTCTGATATAGAACGATATTCTTCCTCTTTAGACGACTTTGACACACGATCCTGTTTCTTGCAACGCCAATACACACAAGATTGGCCAACCCTCACACACCAGCCTGAGGTAGACCTTCTTGTATCTTTGCAGCCAGCATAATCTGCATCAGCAAAGGCTTCTACACCGCCTCTCCTATACAAGGAAAAAACAAACCTACATGTTGCGTCTGTCTCAAGTATCACAACAATTGATAAACTGCGTCTAAGTGCAATGTGCGAGCTACACCCATGTCTTGACTAACCACCTGAACTCCAAAACAAATATCGGGACGAGTATGAGTCAAATAAATCAAACTTCCCACCATTGTAGAATGCAAAATGCTTATTGGATGTGAACTCTCATCCAAGATTGGATCATAGAATCTTAACGGTAGTATGAAATTGATTCTTCACCATCTAAACAAATTCTCGAGCCAAGGATTCAAGTTCAAACTTCTGCTTGAGAAAAAATAACCACGTAAACCTCGTAGCATGATCTATGAATAACTCGAAGTACCGGTATCCCAATCAAGCCAGGACTGGTGAGGGACCCCACAAGTCTGAATGTACCAAATCAAAGGGATTCTCATATACTGTATCTTGAACGAAAAAGATATTTGATGTGCTTTGGCCTCGATACAGCTGATACAAGGTGAGTGAGAAGAAGAAATAGATGAAAGTTCATCTGGCAATAAATCGCGACGAAACATAGTCATTCAATGAGCCGAGTGGGGATGTCCCAAACGACAATGCCATTAATCCCAAGTAGAAGCAGTAGCCGAAAAATCCAACGGCTTAACAGAATAAACTGCAAAAAAAAGGAAGACCTAGAATTCTTACAACCTGAAATAACCATATCCGAAAAATCCAACACCCTACAGTCTTGAACCGAACCCACATGAGCATCCATTGCCACCAACGGGCTGCAACCTCCGATTCTCGAACACTCTTGAAGCTTATCCAACACAAATACCCGGCCACGTTTACTTCCTTTCCCGAGCACCTTCCCCGTCTTCTAGGCCTGCACAACACAACCGACAGAATTAAACTTGACCTCACACCCATCCTCCGATAGCTAACCAACCAAAACCAAATTGGACAAAATTGAGGAACATATAAAGCTGGGGAATAGTGACTCAGTCGATGGACGCGTGTCACGATCATGTACAGGCAAAGTCGCGCCATTAGTGACTTGAAGGTGATTGTGAGAGGCCGGAAGAAGGTGGAGAAAGGATGATTGAGCAGGCGTTATGTGATTAAACGCCACGGAATCAAGAAGCCAAGGAAAAGATTTACCTGAAGCACAAAAGTCAAGGCACCCGGAAGAGCATCCTGTAGAGCTTCCTGAACAAGACGATGAATTAGCTCTGGAGAAAACGACGTAGAAGATGAGGTTGAAGAGCAGTAGTCGAGCCGCCACCCAAGGGAAGATTCTCCATAACCGCATATGCGGACTCCGAGCGAGAAGGACCAGAGGTCGAAGAGCTACGAAGCTTGCCACGACGAATATGCGTAGGACACTCTAATACAATATGGCCTAACTCCTTACAATAATTGCCGAATTTTCATTTTTTGCAGTGAATTTGAAGATGCCAAACCTCTTGACAAAAGTGGCAGGTGACTTCGCCCGTCGCGGGATGATAGAATCGGGGACGCGATGAACCAGTACGTCCAACATCAAATGCAGACTCAGTCGAGACCGAGCCATCAATTTGAGACTGACTCTTAAGTCGAGTTTCCTCTCCGACCAGTTTGGTGATTACCTCTTCCAGGATAGTAACCTGCCAATGAATGAGAGAGGCCCAGATAGGCTCGAACTCATGACAAAGTTTGGACAAGAACTGCATAACCCGAGTACGGCTACGCTCTTAGAGAATAGCATCGGATTCAGTACCAGAAACTAAGGGGACATTCACTAGATCATATTCAGTCCATAGATGGAGGCTAGCCTGATAATAACCACGGATATCACGAACCCCCTAAGTGAGACGCTCAATCTCAATCTCGAGTTCATACTGGCGAGAGGCACTATTCTGCGAATGAGTACGAATAATATGCTGCCACATCTCGGCAACCGTAGCAAAACGACGAAGTCCAAGAGTAGTAGGAATATCAACACAAGAAACAAGCCAAGTCACAAGCTGAGCGTTCGCAACAGCCTAGTCGACCTGTTCCGTAGCCGCAACATCAGTAGAAGGAGGCTTAACCTCACCCAACAAAACCCCAAGCAACCGCTTATCGGTTTTTACATGGTATTAAAGCCTGGTTAAATAAACCTTGTTGTCATCATCATGAATTCTAATGAGAAGACAGAAAAAACCTTAAAGCTCAAGTATACTTCCACAAGCAGTGCAGGAGGTTCCATGACTTCGTGTACGTAGTCGCCTCACCTAATCCTTCACAATTCTGATAGTCCAAACAATCACTTTGTGGGGAGCTGCTCAACGACGTAAATTATAGTGAATGGATCGTCGAAATCACTTATTCTCTAATTGCGAAGAACAAAATGTGCTTTGTGGATGGAACTCTTCTGCCTCCACAAGGATCAGCAGAGACAGAGGCTTTGCGGCAGTGCAATGCCATGGTCAATGGATCGTTGATGACCTCTATGACTAAAGAGGTGCGCAACAACGTTTGATTTGCGGCAACTACACGTAAGATATGGGTTGATCTCTAGTCTTGCTTTGGGTAAGGAAGTGCACCGCGATTATATGAGCTCAAATGCACGATAATCAGCCTGCAGCAAGAGAAGTCCTCTGTAGTCACTTACTCCCTCGCTGGAATCTACTTGTGCGTGTTGCGGCAGCGGAAGGTGCGTGTAAGTGAGAGACTGTTTGATTTTTTAATGGGTTTGGATGATGTCTTTGCTACTGTGAAATCCCAAATCCTAGATATGAAGCCTGTACACAGTCTTGAAGAAGCTTGTCAACTGGTGATGAATGACAACCAGCAGTGACGGATCGCCCACAGTCGTCATCCTTGTCCACAAGCTTTGGCCTTCTAGGTTCAGGGGGAGAGGCGGACTTAGGCCTGACCAATCCTCCACCCGATCTGATTGAGACCCTCATGTTGATCAACACCCATATGATAGACTGCACTGTTCTCATTGCGAACGCCCTAGAAATTCAAAGGAACCCTGCTATAAGCTCGTTGGATATACCTCTCGTGGAAACAACAAGACATAAGAGCCACTTCTACGTCCACGTACTGATCGGGATTCTCATTCGTCTCCCCAGGCTGCTTAGGTCGACGTTGCTGAGAGTTCGCGCCAAGGAATATCGGCGGCTCAATTTGCTCAATTAAAGGCAATGCTTGCTTCCGAATTTCATCAATCAGCACTGGGAGCAATGGAACCTTCTTCAAATATGGTAGATATGTTTTCTTCTAAGTCTGTTGCGTCAACAACGTGGGTTATAGATTCAGGTTGCAACGAGCATATTGTTAACCACGGTTCTATGTTGGATGTCGAGTCGGATTCTTGTTCGACCTTGCAGGTGAAAATTCCTAATGGAACATGTGTTAAAGTTCGCAGTATTGGTTCGACTAAATTATCAAATGATTTGATTCTACGTCGTGTACTACATACATGTCCCTGATTTCTAGTGCAATCTTCTGTCTGTCAGTCGGCTTACTTCAGATTTACCAATTGCATTGATCTTCTTACGTGACTTCAGGACTTAACATCCAAGAGGCTGATTGATATGCGCGAGCACGTCGATGGACTCTATTTTCTCGGGCTGTTTGATGGCGATCAACCCATGGCGAATATTGTCCGGAGTGCGGTAGGTACTTTGGAGCTATGGCATGCGCGTCTCGGACATCCTTCGATTGGGAAGATGAATGCTTTGCAAAATTTTGTTGATTGCACTTTTGTTCAGAATAAGGATCCTAACACTTTTGTTTGCATGCTCAGCAAACTTGGGATCCTTTTATTCCTAGTACTATTTTTTTTTTGAAAATACCACATTTAGTCACTGAGATTACTAAATCGTGTCATGTTTAGGTACTAGAAAATTTTAATATCAATTTTTGTCACTCGAATTACTGGAATATGTCTAACGGGAGAGTGAATAAATGTGACATGTTTTCAGTAATTTAAGTGAGTGGAGTTGGACGGAGGCTAACGAGAGAGTGACTAAATGTGACATGTTTCAGTAATTCGAGTGACCAAAATTGATATTATATTTTCTAATGACTAAACATGACACGATTTAGTAATCTTACTGACCATATGTGGTATTTACCATTTTTTTATAGAATTCCTAGTTCTATTAAGTCCAAAACTTATTTCGAATTAGTACATGTGGATATATGGGGGAGTTATAAGACAACTTCTACTTTAGGAGAGCATTTTTCTTATCATTGTGGATGATTATGCCGTGCAGTCTGAGTGTTTTTTATGCGATATAAATTCGATGCAGGGCGCCATCTTTTGTATTTCTACAACAAGGTTCATACTCAGTTTGCCAGCCAGGTTCTGCGCATACAAACAGATAATGGTTCAAGTTCTCCAACAATTCGTGGGTTAAGTATTATGAGAGCAAGGGTATCGTTCTTCAAACCTCATGCATGAACACACCGCAGCAAAACGGTGTTGTTGAAATCAAGCATATGCATATGCTTGATACAGCCCAAGCTTTTTGATTCCATGCGAATCTTCCATTATGGTTTTGGGGAGAATGTTTCCTCCCCACTGCATATCTTATTAATCGACTTCCTTTGGTGCCTATTGGGAATAAATCTCCTTATCAATTTCTGTTCAACAAGGAGCCCAAGTATGATCATTTAAGTAGCTTTGGATGTCAAGTCTACGATCGTGATAATCATCACAGTTTACACAAGTTTGGTGACAAAGGGAGCATTGGTATATTTTTGGTTTATCCTATGGCACAACGTGGCTATCGAGTATATGACTTTGAGAAGAATCAAGTCTATACTCTATACCTCTCGTGATATCAAGTTCCTCGACAATATTTTTCCTTATTGTGACCTCACCACTCCTACACATCGTCTAGTCTTGTCGCCACTAGTGTATTCCATGCCTTCAGAGTTTTTCGAAGATGATGTAGCTCCTGCATTTCCCAAAGCTCACGAGCTGGATAGAGTCTAGCACAACCCTTCTTCAGTCAAACCTAGAATGTCACATCCTTGGAGTTGGATAGTGATATCGAGGACTCCACATAGCCTTCCCAAAGTTCAGCCACGACCGGTCCTTCCTCCACACCGCAAGACAGCTCGGTTTCTCCTGTCGAACCCGCAGTAGTTCCTCCGCGGCAAAGTGATCGTGTAAGACAGCCTTTTATAAGGTTGAAGGATTACGATGTTCAGCTCCCCAAGGCAGCTCATTCATCTAGTGTATTATATCCTCTCGATGACTATCTAAGCTACCATCACCTCTCCATGGCACATCACACCTTTGTCGCAGTGCTCACAGTGATAAATGAGCCAACTCATTTCTGCCAAACAGTCCGCTAAAAATACTAGTGTGATGCTATGGAGGTTGAGATCACTGCCCTTGAAGAAAATGGTACTTGGTCTTTAGTTTATCCAGTGCCGGGAAAGAAAGTTATTGCTTCGAAGGGCAAAATCAAATTCCATCCCGATGGATCCATTAAGCACTTCAAGACGCATTTAGTTTCCAAGGGTTATACTAAGGTAGAGGGGATTGATTATCATGATACTTATGCACCTGTAGCGAAGTTGGTCACTGCTCGTTATGTTCTTGTCGTGGCTGTGACGCGTGATTGGATTATCGATCAGCTTGATGTCAACAATGCTTTCCTCCATGGCGATCTGCAGGAAGATGTATACATGAAATCTTGCAAGGTTTTGCTCGGTCGGGCGGTACTTACGTTTGTCGGTTGCATAAATTGATTTATGGCCTGCATCAATGATAACGATGTAATTGCACATGTTTGCGCCCCTAGTTATTATCCGTTTGAGGAGTATAGTCGTGTGTTTTGGCCTATTTTACGTCGGGTTGTGCTATTTTGTCATATTTCAGGTCTCAGGCGTCAAAGGGAAGGCTAACCACGAGTTACGGTGCATTCGGAGGTCATTTCGTCAAGCTGGGGCCAAAACACGGGCACACCTAAGGCATTACACGGCCGTGTTCCTATGGCCGTGCTTTTTATGCCGAGAGCTGAGCTGATTACACGGGCAAGGCCGAGACAAAGCACGGCCGTGTTCAAGCATTACACGGCCGTGTCCAACGCGAAGCACGGCCGTGTTTCTCCCCAACTGGTGGCCGTGTAATTAACATTGACCGAGGCACGGGCGGAGTCAGGCAAAGCACGGCCGTTCCCTCGACCGTGCTTTGGCCACTGATGCTTTTAAGCAGATTTTCAGCCACAAGTCAAGGGGATTCGAGTTTTTGAGAGATAGAACGACTTCTAGAGAGAGAAAGTGACGAGCAAGAGTTCCCAAGTGCCCTAGATTGATCTTCAACACCATTAGAGGCCAGCTTGAGCTTGGAGAAGTGCCAATCAACGTCCAGGAGCCGGAATCCGTCCTTTGCAGTATGAATTCTGTGTCTGATTCTGCTTTTGCTTTCTTCTCCATGGAGTAGTTCTCCCATTCATCTGGGTATGGAGAACCCTAGATTTGTATGTTAGGCTTTGATTGTATGAACCCAAGTACTGATTCTGTGATTGATTATATTCGATTGAGGTTTTAATGATTGAATGACTTGAATCCTGATCAAATTCCTGTTGTTTCTGCTTTAACCTAGAATGAGAATATCTGCCTAGGTTGATAGAGTATCCTTGATTGAAGGTAGGGAGTTGGTGACTTTAGTCGAGGAACCAACTCACTATTCTGTACCGGATTTACTCCGGTAGTGGGGGTTTTGTTCTTAGGGCCTCAATCTGTCTACTCCGGTGGAGGTTAGTCGCCCGCTAGAGATTCAGATTGAGAGGGTCTGAAGACCTTTAGTCGAGACTTCAGGCTGTTTAAGAACCTTCCGCAGTGTAACTATCATAGAAACTGAACTTGGTAATTACAATCCGGCTTAATTGCAGTCTAGGGGGAACCATATCCGGGTGACCTCTTTAACCTGAATACAACAGTTTCCTTGTTTTGTTTGTTTGGTAGTTTAGACTTGCATTCCAGTTTCATTGCTAGATAACCAGATCTCACTGAGTAGTCATCAGATCTAGGACCCGGGTTGACATATAAACCTAACCCGCTATACTACGCTTTAGGAAGTGGTTACACTTGGCTAATTCCTAGGGTGACAGTAGAGTCGAGTCAAGTGTTTGGCGCCATTGCCGGGGACGGCTAGGTTGTTGAAGAAAAGTGATTTCTGTTAATTTAGCTTTTCTTTTTGCTTTGTTTGCTTTGTCCCACTTGTGCCTTCACGGGTTTGCTTGCTTGAGTGTGTGCAGGTAGTGCATGACCCGTAGCTAGTCGGGAGGTTTACTGCCGTTGAATCCAGAGATTGACCGCACCTGTCGCCGGCTCAGGAGACAACATCGAGCTAGACTGGCTACGGAAGAGCGCATAGACGGCCACGTGAGCAGTGATTCTGAAGAAGAGCACGGGATGGACGGAGAGTACAATCAACACCAGGGGAATCCTCAGCAGGCTCCCCCGGTGAATCAAGTCCTGGGGAACAACCCCATACCCCAGGATCATGGAGTTCATCATCCACCGCAGCCGGGTCCCACCTTGGAGTACTACTACACTCCGCGAATTGCTGACATCCGCCCGGTCATCCTCTACCCGCCTATTCCAGCAAATAACTTCGAGATCAAGCCATGCTGGATTCAGCTCATCACATCCTCTATCCAGTTTCATGGCTTGAAAGATGAGGAGGCCAGGGTACATCTTTCCCGTTTTCTGCAGCTGACGAACGGGTTCAAGCTGAATGGTGTCCCGGATGATGCAATCCGCCTTCATCTTTTCCCCCATTCTCTGGCGGGGAATGCTAAGAGGTGGTTGGAGACCCAGCCCCCATTGTCCATCACCTCTTGGGACGATCTGGCGGACAAGTTCGTGCACAGGTATTATCCGGCATCGAAGACTACAGAGATCCAGCGGGAGATCACTCACTTCCGCCAAGAGCTAGATGATTCACTTCGTGATGCGTGGGAGCAGTACATGGGCTATTTCTGGCAATGCCCCCATCATGGCTTCAGCGATGCATTCACAGTGGGGAACTTCTACAGTGTCCTCTCTCCAGATAGCCAGAGGGTGATTGAGTCTCTATGCCCAGGAGGGGATATTCTCACTAAGACTCCACCCGAGCTGAACTAGATGATTAATACATTGGCTGTCAGAGATCATTCCTGGGGGCAGAGCAGTAGAGGCAGACATTCCCGGGATCGTGGTGTGCACGCCATAGAGTCCAGATCCGGACTCGAGCAGCAGGTAGCTGAGCTGGTGCAGACATTGAAGCAGCCTAACAGTCTTATTCCGAGCAGAGGTTTGGCTACACCTCCAGTTGCTCAGTGTCAGTGGTGTGAGAGCTCCAATCACCTAGTGGAGGACTGCCAGGCTATGAGGGAGTCTACCACACCCTAGGAGCAGTTGGCCTTCATCGCCAATGCGCGGCGCCTCGATCCATACAGTAACACATATAATGAAGGGTGGCGCCAGCATCCCAACTTCGCCTGGAGCAGCAACACCACTAAACCACCTGGTTTCCCAGCACCAGCAGGTGGTTTTCAGCAGAGGCAGCCCTTCCAGGCTCGGCAGGGGCCAGACCCACAGCAGCAGCCCTACCAGCCTAGGCAGGGGCATCCATTCCAGCAGCCCCAGCGCCAGTTTGCCGAGCCAGCAGCAGCTCCGGCCCTAGATGACAGGATGACGAAGCTGGAAAACATTCTAGCTTCATTCATGACGAGCACTCAGGCGACTATCGCGAGGTTGGACCAGAGTGTAGCCTCACTGGAGGCAGGTTAGAGGAACCAGGGTGCCATTTTGCAGGATCTGCAGACCCAAGTGGGCATCTTGGCCCGCCAAAGCACCACCAGGGCACCGGGGACTCTGCCTGCCACCACTATCCCGAATCCTCGGGATCCTCACCAGCTCCAGCAGCTTGATGCCATTTTTACCAAGAGCGGTAGGGCCATATCTGCTGATCCTGTTCCAGCCAGACAGGAGGAACCACTACCTGCTTCAGCACTTCCAGCAGACGATGCAGCAGTGCGGGTGGAGAAGGAAGCCCCTGCTCCCAAGCCACAACCAGTGGTTAAGGAGCATGTGCCCCAGCTTCCCTTCCC